TGTCTATTTGAGTATAATATTAAATAACTTAAGAGCAATATATATATATTGGCAAAATAACAATGGAAAATATTTTTAAATATAAAAGTAAAGTATTAAAGTAAAACTTTATAAATAGGCTACATAAAATTAGAAAAAATATATTTTATTTTAATATTTCTTTAATAATGAACAAACAAAAAAATTACCACTCTCATATTTAATACAAGATAAAACTTTTGATGTAGTATAAATACACCATATAAATCATTCATAAGTCCAAATTGTGATCCTTTAGTTCTTATTAATACAATCAACACTTATATTTGTTAATAAAAAATATAAAATTCATTATTTTCTCAACATATGATTTAAAACAAAGTTGAAGTTGTAAAGAAATAACTCTGACCTAGTCACCGACTGCCCAGTTGACATTATATTATTTTATTCTTTTATTGTTGTAGGATATCTCTAATGTCAATCCACCATTCACTTGAGATTTGTTTTCAGGAATTTTTTTTCCAATAAAAAAATAAAATAAAATAAAATAAAATAAATTGTTCATATTGTTATTATTTTTAATTAATTAATTAATCAATTGAGAAATAAATTCAATTTCAATATAAAATAAATAATTAAAATGTTAATAAAAATAAATTTATTGTTTACAAAAAATATTATTCATAAAATACCTTATTTTTTTTATCAAAATATTCAAAATTTATATATATATATATAGAAATATAAATATTTAATTCAAAACAATAAACAGACTTCTTTGTTTAGCATTAACAAAGAGTATTAGTGACATATGGTACATGGGATTGTAATAGCAATAGCAAAAATTGTGATAACAATTTTAATAATTGTAGTGATAGTGACAACTTGTGCATGTATATATATATATATATATATATATATACATACATACATATAAGGAATTGTTAAAACAATCCAGGCATTTACTAAATTGAACCATCCATCATCATTGATTTTTGACCAATGAGGATTTGGCACTAGAGAATTTTTTTAATGATGGATAGGATGGTGGATTGATTTAATAAATGTTTAGGTAATTTTAACAATTTTCTCACTTTGTCTTTATATATACAAATATATATATATATATATATATATACAACAACTTTCTTTCTCACTTTGTCTTTATTTATATCTATATATATATATATATCCAACACTTATATGTATATATATTTATATTTATATATATCAATTACACTATAACATTTCAATTGAAAATTTTAAAACAATTATTGATCTAACATTCTCTCTCTATCAGTTGCACTACAATAGTTCAATTGAAAATTTTACAACAATTGTTGTCTGACATTCTAAGACTTTTATCAGAAGTGTTGACTGTAGTCTATGGTGGATAAGTGGCATGTTCAATATCAGTATGAAGTGTGTGATTTATTTGCATACAGTAATAATTGTTGAGTGTCATGCTGTAATGGATTACACTAGTATAGTTCCATATTTTGATACATGTACTTGTCCTCCCATGCAACGTGTTGGCATAGCAACCATTCAAAGTGGTAGACTGGTTTCCATTCTTCTTGTGATGTACCACTATTTTTCTACACTATTTGTGTTCCAAACTAAAAGCATATGGTACAATTATGGTTGATCATTACTATTCTACTATTTTCTTAAATTATATGCAATTGGAATTTAATGTTGAGGTTTTTGTTTTGGTTATAGTTTTGGTATTTTGTCTTTTTTTTCTTTTTTGACATAATCGAGGTGTACTTTTACTTCAATTATAAAGATAGGCACACATCATTCAAGGACGTAAGATCCAAAATTCTAGGTGGTGGATGAAACACAATCACATTTGTTGGACTAAATGTTTAGTATCATCAGCTGCTAAGTTGTTGTACACCGTTATTCCTCCACGAGGGGGAATAAAATTCCGTCTTCTGTGTTTGTTGTGTCTGATATCCAACATTGGCTTGGCCATGCAAGTTTTGTCCCAATGGAAAAAGCTTCCCCGTTGTCAATTCCCTTGTCGACAATTCCCAACTGTCAGGGTGGGGTTTTTCGTGCAAGACTTGATTGCTTCCTTGGGAGATATGTTGAAACCACGTGTGCTTAGGTTAGTGAGTAATTTCTGTAGAACAAGTAGAACTCAATCTCATACTTTGCAGGTATGAACATTGTCAGAATCTGTGAACTGAGGGTTCAGGGCAGCTTCAAAAACACAGTTAGATAGGTCCTGGGTTTATCTCTGTATTCGCACCAAGTTCCAGCTGGATTCTATTTCTCTTCGGCCGTACAGGACGTTTTCGTTGGGATGGAATGAGTGAATGTAATTTATCACTCCTCACCGCATGAGATACCACCGGAAGCTATTCTCCGCTGAAACGAAGCTGCATTAGGTACAGTGAGTCTCCTCCACGAAGAGAATATTCATTCAAGGGTTAACAGTCAGCTCTCGGGTTAAGGAATTCGATGACTTGCTTATTCCGAATCACTGCAAGATCATATTCAAGCCTTCGTAACTAATCCATCACCGCCGTCCCAACGCAGCGGGTGAGGAAACACCATGCATATCATAGGGCACATCTTGTTATGGACCGATTGTTCTGGAGCAACAATCAGCAACTCATGGACAGCAGCCCAAGAGCACTGAAACGATAGACAAAGTTTTCTCTACTCCAGTTACGAAATAGTCACATCACAAGCCAGGCGCGGATAAACCCACGAAAGCACAACAACCAACCATCAAAATCTTAACTGGATGCGACAAAGTCAACGAACACATTGAACAACTCAAAAACAAACCTAAGCGATAACGACGTAATAAAGTGTGAAATGTACAGCCACACACCCAAGGCCTCTCAAGAATCCAGACCAAAAGAGATGTGCAGCGGAACGGATTGCTCTCGCTTTCAAAATAAATGTTGAACACTGTCCGTGAGTCTTTGGTCAGTGCTCGACCGTAGAAAGCTTTCTGGCACAGAGAAGAAATGACGATCAAAGGCAACCTGTACACAGCAGACGCATACTGAGTAGAAGACTAGCAACTCTATCGAAAGAGATCTAAGACAAAAACTAAACAGATGGAAATCGACTTCAGAAGAGAAGAGTAGGCTGGGGAAGGATTGGAACTAAATACACAACTCGGAAAAGTCATGCAGGGGTTAAGTGAGCACTAAGTGCATCACAATTGACAATGCCGACTGTCGAGGCAGAGTTCACTATGTACGCTGGTGACACAGCTGCGATAATTAGGGTTAGGGCTTGGGCCAGACACTCGGGGCACCACAGGAACGCGTTCTATCCACAAAGGCGTCGATGATCACACGATGGATGAAAGTATAGTGATGAAACACATCTATCGTGTGATCATCTGATACCCTTAAACAACCGTGAGCTTCTTTTCAATGAAATTTTATTTTTGTTCGGCGGTGTAACAACAATCTTACAAAGTTACTTGCTTCAAAATTGTTGTATTCTGATATATATATATATATATAGATATATATATAAATATATATAATTATATAAATATTTCGTATGTATGTGTTCACACATATGAATATTTTTTTAAATCACAAATTTGAAATGAAATATTTGTTTGACTGTTTGTAAAAATTAAATATAATTGTAAACTCATTTTATAGAATCATATAAAAATCGTCATTATCGTTTTTTAATCTGATTAAGTTCAGTTCTTTTTTTTTTTTTTTTTTTTTTTTTTTACTGATATCTAATTATTTAATAGTAACCATTTATTGTAAAAAATTCAAAAGGAATTATTTATTTGTTATAATATTCTTAACAAACGGTTACAGAAGGATGATGATAAACGGTATTTATGTAAATTTTTTTATTTGATGCATACAACTAAAAATATCACTTATGATATTCACAAGTTTTCATTTGCATAAATCAAATGAATATCACGTTCCATTTGTACTGTTTTCTTATGGATACAAATTACAGTTTTCAACTTCAGAATGAAATTTTTATTCTATAGGGTCAGTGCTTTACAGATTATAACTTGGTAGTCTAAGAAATCATGATTTAGTTCAACATCAATTAGAATACCTATTTTTCACCAGAAGATTTCAAAAGTGAATTATAGATAATCTTAGTAATTTACATTGTCACATGTTATTTCTTAAGCACACTAATCATGCTGATTGTTATCACCATGTTACAAATAGATAATTGTTCACCCTGCATCCCTTGTTAATGTTGCTACACCTCACATGATCTCCACACAACTTAGAATGACTAATATGCATGCTTCAACTCTTAGGGCATGTTTGACCATTCTAATGTATAATCCCAGTATAACCCCAAAAGTTAAATAAATGAATAAATAAATAAATAAATAAATAAATAAATATACTGTGTTTTTAGCAACCAAATGAAAAAATAATTTATATATATATATTTATATATATATATTGAGAAAAATAATTTTTTTCTTGAATAAAAAAACTAATGACTTAATTATTCATAGAATATTAATCGTGTCCCTCTCAACCACCACCCTTTTTAAAGCAAGAAAGGGAAAAAAACTTGCAAAAGAAAGAGGCATATTATTAGTTAGTTGTCTACAAGTGTGACATTTACCATTCTTTACAAATTCAGTCTTTTAAAAAAAGAAAACCATCAGGATTAACAAATATCAATGACATATTTATTTATTTATTTCATAATGCCTTGAAGTGGAACCTATATAATGTCACGGAGTGTGACCACAAACATTGAATATGAGACACCTCACAAGGTGGGATGGGGTGGGAGGAATGACCACGCGAGACGTCAAAATTCCCCTCTCGAGAGACTCTCACATGGCCTTCCTTCGTCACGGCGCACATGCGCGGTGTTCCGAGTGGGTTCCCTATCACCATGCAAGGGCACACGTGCGCCGGTACCCGTGCCATATGCGGTGACGGAGGATGCTTCGTTCCGGTGAATCACTTTACGCAACGATATTATTCGTGTAGGGGGACTGTTGCATCAGAAAGGCTATTAAAACGTGGTGCTCACACTCCCTCGCAATCCGTGACCCCCGTTTTTGTAGTGCCCACACTTCTCTTCTCAAGGACAACAAGAAGGGACTAGGTTACCCTGTGTTGTTTGTGCTTGTGAACTCACTTACTCACGCTCATCACGAAGCTGATCTTGGTTACCAGGGATTCATCCCTTCATCGACATCAGTGTCTCCTCGCACCGGCCATCTCAGATCGGTGGCTGCGGAGCTGGAAGTCGAGGCACAGAGATTGGGTTGTTGCAGGTTTTGTTGTCAGTGTGGAAGCGAGGGTTGTGCATGCGAGCAGCTATGGTGTGCACCGCCTCATTCATGCTGGAGGTGAGCGGGCCAGTTCTCAGCTCGCGGGGCGGATGTCAGGGCGTACAGAAGTTGAGGGAGGCTCGCGGGTTGGGTGCTTCCCGTGTTCTCGTCTCCCTGAGGCGCCGGTCGATCGGTGGTAGAGTGCGGTGTGAGAGTAATAGCTTGAGTGTGCGGGGGGCGAAAGCACGGGATGTGAGACTGAAGGCGGTTGCGGATTCTGAGATGGCGAAAGTTTCTGAGAATCCGATGGAAGTGGAGTTTGCGGGGAGAGTTGAAGCCGAGGGGGAGAGTGCGGTGAGCGACGGTGTGGAGTATGATTGGGAGAAGGAGTGGTACCCCATGTATCTGACGGACGAGATGCCCAAAGCCGCACCGCTTGGTCTCACTGTGTTTGACAGGCAGCTGGTGCTGTTCTATGACGACAAAGGCGAGCTCAATTGCTTCGAAGATCGGTGCCCTCACAGGTTGGATACTCTCTGTCACAAATTTTGGAGTAATTCGTAGTTTGCCATGCAGATGCTTCTTCACAACTATCCAAGTATTTCTCCATCAACGTGGGTGCCACTTGCTGCAATTGGCACTTTCTTTTTTCTATTTCCTGAATTTCGGCATCCATCATGGGCATTACTTGAGGTAAAGCCTATTAAAATAAGGATTGCTGGTGGATAACTAGCTAATATTGATTCGCCCTTGGTGCAGACTAGCCAAGTTGTCCGAAGGGAAGATGACGGATGGAAAGCTCGAGTGCTTATACCATGGGTGGCAATTCGAGGGAAGTGGTCAGTGTACTAAAATTCCGCAGGTACTTTTATTACCATCTTTAGATTCGCAATTGCAATTACTCGTTTTTGTAGATAGTACAGTATGTTTTTATTAACCCTTAAACTGTTTGCAAACCCTGTATGTTGTGGATGTGCAGGCGTGCATCTTACGTGAACATGAAGAGATTTTGTAGTGTTGTGTCATAGGGTTGAGGTTTATTCCATTTTATTTTCTCTAGGTATTTTTAGTTGGTTAATCAATCAATTTATTTATTGATTGCGGCAGCTGGCTCCCGGAGCTAAAATTCCGAAGCAAGCATGTGCCAAAAAGTATGAAGTAAAGGTGTCGCAAGGAGTGATATGGGTGTGGCTGGGTGATAGAGCAACAGCCGATCCCAAGAAGGTGCCCTGGTACGAGCACTACGAGAGGGAAGGCTTCTATCACCTCTCTACTATTCATGAGCTGCCTTACGATTACTCCATTCTTCTGGAGAACCTGATGGATCCCGCTCACATTCCCATCTCTCACGATAGAACGGATACCAATGCTAAACGCGAGAATGCTCAAGCTCTGGTGCGTATATGACAATGTCTTAGTCGTAGTCTGTTTCGGAAACCTCAGAGTCTAGGTTCTTTTGGCTTGATCGCGTTCCCTTAAACAAATTTATTTCCTGAGAGTTTTAAAGTATATTATACTGTGGACAGCACTGGTGAGGTTGTTGTCTAAGGCACAAAGTGGACAAGGTCAGCGAGTCGTGATGTTGCGAAACTTGTTAGTTGCTTTTTTTATGTAGTATAATCTAGACTTCAACTCTGAAATGCTAATGCTGCGGATTTTCGCTTCTTTTGTAAACTCGGTACTCCTACACATGTTTTTAACAATTCCGTAATTGTACATTGTCGCGTGATCGTCCTGCTCTCTTTGTTAAGTTATAAAAAAACTAATTCCTGTATCTACCCTGGCACTCACAGGTTTTCGAGGTTACGGAGCGGACATCACGAGGGTTTGCAGGTATATGGAAAGAGATCAGCAGTCCAGAGTTCACAAACACGACCCGTTTCGAAGCACCATGCTGCTTGCGAAATGACAAAGTAGTTGACAAACCAGATGGCTCAAAGGATTACTTGAGCGCTGTCTTCCTTTGTAGACCATCTGGTCAAGGCAAGTCAATGCTGATTGTACGGTTCGGCAGCACAAAATTTCCAGATATATTTAAGAAGATCCCTGGCTGGTTCCTTCACAAGACCAGCAACACAGTATTCGAGCAAGATATGGGGTTTTTGGCGTCACAGAATGCATACCTGGTGAAGAAGAATCAACCTACAAAGGACCTGTACCTGAACTTGAAATCATCAGACACCTGGGTTTCAGAGTTTCGTAAATGGAATGACCGCGTAGGTCGTGGAATGCCGTATTACTTTGGACACCAGACTACATCTGCAGCTATAAACCCGGCAATCCTTGAAGCCGCTCCAGCTGGGTTTTCTGCGGCTGCTGCATCCTCATATCCCGCACAAGGATCCTTTGGCGAGATGTTTGCGAGAGACCCAACCAACCGGTATTTCCGTCATGTAGTGCATTGCAAGTCATGCCTCAAAGCACTGAACAACTTCCAGAAATTCCAAAAGGTAAAGCTTCCGCACAATCCTCAAACTTCCAGTTCCACATTTCGCATTGTTTTTCGCTGGTATCAGTTCCTTGTGACGGTTCCTTCAGCGTCTATGCAATTAACGAACATTATGAAACCTTTCCTGTAGCTTTCTTTCTCGTCAAAACCATTTACTTAAATGCTTTTTTGTTTGTGGTTGACAGGTTGGAATAGCGTTGGGCCTCATAGCTACTGGAGTCGCTATAACCCTGTCTTCTGTCATGTGGAGAGCATCGTTTGTTACCATTGCTCTCCTGGCTTTTGCAACGTCTTATGCCTGCTCTAGGGGAGTTGCAGCATTGACTGTAAATTATGTGCGGCCACATCGCAAGGGAGTGCAATAAGCTCCGGTTTTCCTCTCCTCTTCCAATGCTTGCGATGACACACATAGTCCACACAAGTTCTTGTAGAGTTTGCCTAGAGCGACCAAATGTATGTATATATGTAAACCCACGAATAGTTAAAGGATTCAGTGCGGTTTTCTGGTTTGTGAGCTAACAATCTGCAGTGCATAGCCTAACAAACTTCGGAATCACTTTCTACATGTCATAGCTTTGTCAACCCAGTAACCCTCAGAATATTAGAACCTTTATGGAGAAGCTTGATTTCGTGTAATTAGGAGGATTTTTGTATCCTTAAGACATGATTTTAAAATTCTTGACGCTCCTCTATTTCCACGGAATGCTAAACATTCCCATGTACTTTGACAGAACCTGAAAAATATTCTGTTTGAAACTGATGCAAACAGCGCTGAGAGCTCAGATTACTCTCCAAAATTTTGTCTTGCCTTTGAATGAATGAATGTGTGATTTTTTGTTTCTGATTTTGGCTCTCTTTTCTGGACTGTGACCACTCCACAATTATCGAAAGTATAATTCATGTTTTGTTTTGTTTTGTTTTGTTTTGTTTTTTTAAATGTTGATGAAACTTGCTTTTACTTCGTTCTGCTATGATGTTTCCAAGCATGCTGGTTAGGAACTGGTGGATGTGCTTGACGAACATGTAATTCTTTTCATGTGATGCTGCAATTCCTTTATGATTGGAAGTGAAACGCTATGCAAAGTCATCATGGATGTTGGTCTTATTTAATCTATTCAATTAGTACGTTGAAATTTATCATTAAAATGAAAATGCCATAAGACATCGTCTTGCTTTATATTTGTGCATGTTGATGTGTGTGTGTGTGTGTGAATATAAATATATATATATATATATATATACACACAAATAGAATCATACATACACGAGTAAATAAAAGAAACCTCTTCTTTTATAAGTAATGATGAAATGGGAAAAATCAATAACCGCGTATGTAAATTAAAGCAATGGTACAGTTCACATTTCTGAAATAAGCAAAGTAGCGACGAAAACAAGATGTCTCAACATTCTAAAGATTTTCAATATGGCACTGAAACCAAGAAGGGGCGTCCAACAACTAGTGGAACCCGGGGATGTAGCTCAGATGGTAGAGCGCTCGCTTAGCATGCGAGAGGTGCGGGGATCGATACCCCGCATCTCCATCGTTTTCGCAGTTAGAATCTACTCCACAGATCCATATCTCTAAAAGCGTGCGGAAAAATATCAAAATGGCTTTTTTGGAGTCATTTCCATGGCTATATGTTTTGGAGTCATTACAATGCATCAACTTTGCAATTTGTTCTAGTTCCTTTAAATCCAAAAGATTTTATAGCCACATCACAATATTTTTATAGCCATACCTCAATATTATTATAGCCACACCACATTATTATTTCAGTCACACCGCAATATTTTCATAGCCACACCCTCCAAACCATGTAATGATTAATTTTGGGGGATAGTGAACAAGGGATAGGGATATGGAATAAGGGACAAGGATAGAAAACAAGGCATGGGGATAGGGAACAAGGCACGGGAATGGGAAATGGAGAACAAGGAATAAAGAATAAATATATTATCTATTTAAAATTATCAACAAAAGTTTAGACCAATATTCTTACCTAGATGTGATATATTACTAGGACAACATCACCAATTTAGCTTGAAGATCTATTATAATGTATAAGAGAAGAAAGAACTAAGTAATTCAAAAATTAAATATCTATTATTTTATTATTTTTATAAGTATAAGTAAGACTTTTAGTTATATTTTTTATAAAAATAAAAAAATAATAAAAAATAATTTTAAATTGAAGAAACAACAATGAGACTATAACAACTTTTAACCATTACACAAATTAAGGTAGTGGGATCTATAAATAGAATTTTGATATATAAAATATACAAATAATAAAAATATATAGATTTTTGATTTCTATGATATGCATTTGTATTGTAAATAAAATAAAATAATATTTTTGACATAGACATGTATACTACTTATGTAAATAAAAGTAAACAAAACTAAGTAGAAATACATAGTATTTCTTTGTAAAATATTGTATGAGATTTTTAGATATGTACTAAATCTAAATGTTCTTGGATGTAATATGTGATTATAAAATCCCTCTTAGAATTTTTTTAAATTTAAGAATTCAATGTAGAAGTTGTTCATCAATTAGATACTTATTCTATAATCCTCATGGTCTTTAAAAAAACTTTTATTAAATCTTCTTGTTAGCTAGTATATACAAAAGTAAAAATAATGCTTTATTTAAATATTAAATATTAAATAAAAAATAATTTCAACTCCAAAAGGCTTATTTAAATATTAAATAAAATTTAGTCGATTCCAAAACAACACATAGATAACCAAAAAACATAACACAATGTGCACCAATAAACAACACATAACAAATGCTAACAATACTACTACACAATATACTATACAAAGTTACACACAAAATACTCTCTATTAAGACACAATAATATTGATAATAAAGCCGAGTGGTAGTGATCCAAAACGGTAGTGAGTGAATGGAAACAACATTTGCCATATTGTCAAAGAAGAACCGCGTACGAAACAAATACCATGAGAGTGGAGTAGGGCATACGGTGAAATGTACTGACGCAACATACGGTGGTATAGTGGCGGCGTCGAGAAGGAGCGATGGCATGAATCTTTGCTGCGCGGAGTTGCGACCACACGGAGTCTCTTCTTCTTCTGCTTCCCATTGTTGCATTGCATTGCATTGCATACACATACCGAAGCTCTGCGCCATCGCCATCGCCATCGCCACCACCACACAGGATTGCGAGCTTTTCCGGGATCTGGACTTGTTGTCAATCGTGCCCTACGCGGTCTGAGACCACGCACAGGTTATTGCCCCGCTGCGTGAGGCCGTTGCAAGTTCCCATCACACGCTTCTGGCCGCTTCGTTTCATCAGTCTCGTCTAAATTTGTCATCGCAAGCTGCGGGATCTTTTCTTTGCGGTCGGGGTCCTTGGCTGATTCGTTACTGCGGGGATGCGATGTTATGCAATGCAATGTGTTGGTTCTTGAGGATGAATTTGCTTTGAGGAGAGTGGTTGCGTTGTGTGGATCTTGCATGGCGGTATGTATGGATTACGAGTATCATATGATGCTACTTAGTTGACTTGGTACCCCGTTGTTTTTTTTCCTTCAGGTGCAGTTAGTAGAGAAACTAAGGTTCAAGTAGTCCAACTCGAATTTGGTGACTATTTCATAATTTCAAGTTTGTCAACAAGGGCAAATACTCAAATAATCAGCATTGATTCAACAACAGAAATTTTACAATATCAAGGTCGAAATGACTTGGATCTGTTTTCATCCAAGCAAGATGCAAAACAGTATCTGTCAACAGCGAATTGCATGATCAGGAATTCCTTACATGCTCAGGCAATTATAGGATATGCGACCGTAGGAAGTGTTCGTTTACTGCTCGTTGCCACTAAACTCAAAGTCTCCCCCCTCGTACTTCTTTGTAGGGATGTTATTTACACAATCTTGGAGTCTCAATGGATAAAGATTCTTCTAAGAAATCCTTAGTACCAAACAAAGATAGAGTCCAAGAATGCAACTCATTTAGCAGATTTTGAACTTGATGGCCTATATTTTTGTGAGACCCAAGATATCCCACACCCGTTTCCCAGCAAATATTGTATCAACACCCCTGACAGAGAGTTTGTGTGGAATGAATGGCTCTCTTTTCCGTTCATGGCCATTGGCCTACAGAATCATTGTGTCACTCTGTTACAGGTCTGTCTCCAATTTTCATCAGCTACATTACATCTTACTCATAAGAATTAGTGCTCATGCGCTGAGAAGCTATTTTTGGACTTAAATATCTGTCTAAGGACTTGTTGATACTACTTGCATGTAGAACTTGCGTGCATTCAAATTGATTTGGGATTGACAGGAGGTTAGAGCAGTTATGGATGTAGAAAAGATTTTCTTAAATGCAAGTGCTATTGTCTAATGTCTTCATCTCTTTTGCATGGTGTTCATAGTAAGTATTTAGTTTGATTGTTTAGGCAGGGTTTTGCAAAATCAAGAGAGTTTTGTGATATCAAAGACAACAAAGTGAGTGTTGTAGATACTGCCTAGTGCAGTAGGCTGCATCCTAATACTCGTTACTTGGCTCGTTGTCTTAATGGGACTTATAGTGCTGGTGGATCACTTTGCTAGTTGATTGTAACCTAAGAACTTTACTTACTATATGTGGCCATAGAGAAGTTATTTCAGCCAGTCTTTTGGTTGATATATTAGGAGGGGCACTTGATCTTTTTCTTTTTTTTCTTTTAATTAAATCTTATTTTAAAAATAATATTAATGGTGAGTGATCTACAACCAACTAATAGCTTTAAAGGAATTCAGGCTTAATATTTTTGGATAACCAAATATCATGTATTTTTGGTTTTTGGAAACCCAAATATCATGAATCATTGGAAATATCACCTCTCTAAATTAAAAATATCGCATCTCCAAATTAGAAATATAACCTCTCTAAATATCACTATTCAAATTTAATTACCTCCAAGTTTTTGAAGTAAAGGTGATACTTTGGTGATTTCAAAAAGTCAAGGTAGTTAAGGCAAAGGGAAGATAATTAAGGCAAGTGAAGTAAGTTGTGATATTTTATCAGCCTCTCTTGTGATATTTAGATTTCAAAATCACCCACCTCAAGAAGTGGGTGATTTTGAAGTATTAAGTGATACTTTGAAATATCTTTACTATTGAAATATCATCCAAAAAGCTTATGTTTGAATTTTGTTATTATTATGCTTTCCATCTATCTAACATGATCTTTATGCTCATTAATGAACTAAGATTGCTAGCAAGATAAAATTAAAGGGTTGAATAATTTAGATACTTTTATCCAAGGTCCCTTCTTTCTTAATAGAATGAAGTTGAGCTTTAAACATTCTCTATTAAGTGATATTACTCATGACTTGACTTGTAATATGAGAAGAAAGTATTATTTATATCAATTTTTAAATTATACATTTTGTTTGGATCCATAAGAGTGCAGTTCATTACAATGTATTTTATCTCTTGATTTCTATTATTTATTTATTTATTTATTTATTTATTTATTTATTTATTTTGTAAAAAATGAAATCAAGTATGAACAATTAGTGTGGCCTTTCAATCTATCACAAACTTATCATGTTCCATTCAATATTTATCTATGGTATAGATAAACTATGCATATATGGTAGGAGATAGAGATCCAATTTCAAATAGCTGAGGCCAAGATATTTGTAGCTAAAAGAGACATATATGTTGGATTTGTTTTTTATTACGATAGATTGTTCTCTTTATATCAAAATCTTGATGTTAAAAATAGAATCAGTGGTATTAATATTATTGAAATAGACAAATCTTATATAATGT